ACCCACAGTCAGTGATGGTCTGGGGTGTCATGTCATGTCAGCTGCTGGTGTTGGTCCACTGTGTTTTATCAAGGGCAGGGTCAATGCAGCTAGCTATCAGGAGATTTTGGAGCACTTCATGCTTCCATCTGCTGAAAAGCTTTATGGAGATGAAGATTTCATTTTTCAGCACGACCTGGCACCTGCTCACGGTGCCAAAACCACTGGTAAATGGTTTACTGACCATGGTGTTACTGTGCTCAATTGGCCTGCCAACTCTCCTGACCTGAACCCCATAGAGAACCTGTGGGATATTGTGAAGAGAAAGTTGAGAGACGCAAGACCCAACACTCTGGATGAGCTTAAGGCCGCTATCGAAGCATCCTGGGCCTCCATAACACCTCAGCAGTGCCACAGGCTGATTGCCTCCATGCCACGCCCCATTGAAGCAGTCATTCATGCAAAAGGATTCCCGACCAAGTATTGAGTGCATAACTGAACATGATTATTTGAAGGTTGGTGTTTTTTGTATTAAAAACACTTGTCTTTCATTGGTGGGATGAAATATGCTAATTTTTTGGGACAGGCATTTTTGGGTTTTCATGAGCTGTATGCCATAATCATCAGTATTAAAACAATTAAAGACCTGAAATATTTCAGTCGGTGTGCAATGAATCTGAAATATATGAAAGTTTCATTTTTATCATTACATTATGGAAAATAATGACCTTTATCACAATATGCTAATTTTTTGTGAAGGACCTATAGATAGATAGATAGATAGATGGATTAATAGATTTTTTTTAATCCATCCAGAGGACCTGTTAAGAGTTTTTTTACTTGGATCAGGATACTAAGGTTTTTGTAATTCAAGGTTTAGCTACCGTTTTGCTAGATTCAGCATTTATCTAAAGTTTTGCTAATTTTAACTTTTATTTACAGTTTTACTCGTAACTTTTAGCTACGATTTTGCTAATTTTACAAGCTGGCGCAAACAAAAGAAGCATAATGTAATGAAACTTGTAATGAACAAACCGTGAACATATAAAACACTGCATCAATTTATAATTAACAATAAAAGAAAATAAAACTAAAATATATAAAATCGCATGAAAGTAAATTTGTCAATTTGAAATTAAAATATAATACCACAAGAAAATAAAAAGCTATGAAAAAGAGGTGACTCGAAAATGTGTTTGCTTCGACTTCGTCAACATCACTGTATTTACTGTAGAAAACAAAATTAAAGATAAATAATTTAAGGAATGTTTTATTTATTTATTTCCTGTTTATCCTCCAGTCCGGATGGTGGCGGTAATGCGCCTTTAAGTTACTTTACTAATAAACCAACGAAGAAGAACGAGAAACGAAGAAGAAAACGCAAAGGCGTCGACGCCCTCAGCTTGTTTTTACAGTCAAACTTTTATTGATGTATTCGGACTTTGTATTTAATCAGAAGTCGGGTTTATAGATCCGGATCAGATTGGAGCACGAGTCCAATTAGAGGTAAGAACCGCTTCCTGTTAGCTAAACCTATTTAGCTTCAAGCTAACTCTGTCACTCTCACAGCTTCAGACGAATCCTTTGAGTAATCCGGATTAAGGTGGACTGAAATCACTGTTGATATTTCCAACCTGAGTGATGTTGCATTGATGTCACGTGTGGTTGTATTGATGTCACGTGACCACACATCGCACAGCTGATGGTGGTGTGGTGACGTCAGCTGGGCTTTTACCGTTCTATTTCATCCCTACTGACCGCCAGAGGTGGTGCTTAAAGCGCTGAATGATCATTCTTGCGCATGCGCAGGTCGAGAATTTATGCCAACATAGTCACGTGTGCCGCCCGGGACACTGGTGAGTTTATATAAGCACGTGACAACTGTAGCCTAGTCCCTGTCATCTTCTCGCATGCAAGTGTTAAGAGGTTTACTTTTCTGCTTGACGCTGGTAGCCTGGAGACTACGGTCGGAGATGCGGGACTGTCTCGCCCTCCAGAGGCTGCGCAAGCTGGTATCCTCTAAACAAATGGTACTTCAACTGGTAAGTTGTTTTGTTTTTATTGACCCGGCGGTAGCGTGTTCGCTAGCCGCATCGGGTTTCCTTATTGGCTGGAAGTACGGCGTTCAGCCGTTTTTTCCTTGGTTTATAGAAAGCATTGCAGCCACGTTCCTGCTTGTTTTCAGTTACGGGTGTAGCGGCCGTGTTCGGCTTCGCCCACCTTTACCTGTTTAAGCTCGTGCTTATATTGTACAGCTGCGTCCGCTTCTGTTTGTTAAATTTCAGCCGTTTTCGTGCCTGCCTCTCATTCATAGTTACAGCCGTGTTCGGCTTGACTTTATTTTGTTACACTGCAGCCGTTTTTCGTGCTTGCATTCCTTGAGTTGTGCGGCCGTGTTCGGCTTTCCCTTTTCATTATAGTGCAGTCGTGTTCATGCTTGCATGTTTTTCTTGAGTTGTGCAGTCGTGTTCGTGCTTGCATGTTTTTCTTGAGTTGTGCAGTCGTGTTCATGCTTGCATGTTTTTCTTGAGTTGTGCAGTCGTGTTCATGCTTGCATGTTTTTCTTGAGTTGTGCAGCCGTGTTCATGCTTGCATGTTTTTCTTGAGTTGTGCAGCCGTGTTCGTGCTTGCATGTTTTTCTTGAGTTGTGCAGTCGTGTTCATGCTTGCATATTTTTCTTGAGTTGTGCAGCCGTGTTCATGCTTGCATGTTTTTCTTGAGTTGTGCAGTCATGTTCGTGCTTGCATGTTTTTCTTGAGTTGTGCAGTCGTGTTCGTGCTTGCATGTTTTTCTTGAGTTGTGCAGCCGTGTTCGTGCTTGCATGTTTTTCTTGAGTTGTGCAGCCGTGTTCGTGCTTGCATGTTTTTCTTGAGTTGTGCTGCCGTGTTCGTGCTTGCATGTTTTTCTTTAATCGCAACCATGTTCGTGTTGCATTTTTTACCTGTGACTCTACGGCAGTCATAGCACTTCTGACTGCTTCTTTAAGCTTGCAGTTGGGGAACCCCTGGTGGTGTTTTTCTGCTGACCGGGTTCCCTGGTCCATTCGCTCATCGACTCCAGCGTCAAGGGTGGCGTTTCTTGCTCGACCTGCTGCTTCTAGTCCTGTGAGCCGTAATATGTTGGACGTGCAGTACTGCAGAGCCTGTTTGGCCCCTCTCCAGTTGGAGGATGGACATGATCTGTGCAGGTGGGGAGACAATAGGTTGTAACAAGGATGTGTCCTTGTTTCTGAGAGGCGCCGGACGTCTGCATCCCCCCACACGCCTCCTCGTGCCTGTGTGGGATCTCTCTCTGGTCCTTGCTGCCCTGCGGTCTGCTCCGTTTGAGCCCTTGACGGATGTGAGCCTTGAGTGCTTGTCTAAGAAGACCGCATTTCTCCTGGCCATGGCTTCGGCCAAACGAGTAGGTGAACTACATGCACTGTCTGTTCACGAGCACTGTTGCCGTTGGAACCCGGCTGGTTCGGGTGTTACACTCTGGCCTAACGTAACGTTCCTCCCTAAGGTGGCCTCATCTGCGACCCACTCTCTGCCTCGCCAGCTTGCTCGCTTCAATGCAGATGGTGCCGACGAGCCTTTCTGCCCTGTTCGGACACTGGAAGCGTACATCAGACGGACAGCCTCTCTGCGGCTGTCTGATATGTTCATTTGCTATGCAGGGCCTCGCAAAGGGCAGGCCCTTTCAAAGCAGAGCCTTGCGCGCTGGATTGTGGACGTGATGGAACAGGCGTACACTCTGCAGGGCCGCCAGCCACCTGTAGGGGTACGATGCCATTCCACCAGGAACGTTGGCGTGTCATGGGCCGCTATGAATGGAGTCACTCTGGAGGCAATATGTGCAGCAGCCTCCTGGTCATCCCCAAATACCTTTGCCAGGTTCTACAGGGTAAACCTGGCTGCCTTTCACCTGTTGGAAGGGATCCTATCACAGCACCCATCTTCGTCTCAGTAAGGTGGGCAAACTTAAATTTTGTTTCTTCTTGTGGGTGTGATTCCTCAGGACTCTGTTGGCAATCGTCATCCAGTGCTTTAAGCACCGCCTCTGGCGGTCAGTAGGGATGAAATAGAACGAGAGTTACAGCTGTAACTACGGTTCTATGAATCCCGGATGACCGCCAGAGCGCTCGGTCCCTCGGAATCATAGCGTTTCGCGAGAAGATTAAGGGACTGGGCTACCGTTGTCACGTGCTTATATAGACTCACCGGTGTCCCGGGCGTCACACGTGACTATGTTGGCATAAATTCTCGACCTGCGCATGCGCTAGAATGATCATTCAGTGCTTTAAGCACCGACTCTGGCGGTCATCCGGGATTCATAGAACCGTAGTTACAGCTGTAACTCTCGGTTTCTGCAGAGAATAAAACTGTCTGATTTGTTCTGAACTTCTTACGATTCTAGACCAAAGTAGGTAAACATAACAATAATTTCTGTAAAGTTCATGTTTTTATTTTTTCCTGCTACACGTTTCGCTCAGACTTGTCCTTTAGTGGCCAGAGCTCTGCTCAGACTGTTTGTCCTCTGGTGGACAGAGCCCTGCTCAGACTGTTTGTCCTCTGGTGGACAGAGCCCTGCTCAGACTGTTTGTCCTCTGGTGGACAGAGCCCTGCTCAGACTGTTGTCCTCTGGTGGACAGAGCCCTGCTCAGACTGT